GCCCTGCTCCTCCTCACCCCAGTTTGGGACAAAACCGCTCTGATCCAGGAGGCTTTCAGGGTGGCAGGAGCTGGGCTGCACCCTTCCCTACCAAGCTGGTTATAAAGCTCGCAGAAGTTTAGGGAAGATGCTTACAGCTACTCCATCAGATGTGTGTACCCCCCCCAGCAAGCCAGATGTGCACAGCTGTCTGACAAGAGCCATGCCCATGAACTCACATGCCCTAGTCCCGGGGAGCCGCTGCCAGGTCTCCCCCCCAGCCCACCCCAAGCTGCAGGCAGGGAACCTGCACCCGCAGTGGGGTGCACATCTCCCCCAGCCCAGCCATGGGAGAGGCGGTCATGGGTGGGTGCCACCAGGAGGGAGGCGTCCCCAGCCTTGTGTGGAGAAACACAGGGTTGAGGCAGCATGGGGACACCAGGAAGGGCAGAAGAGGGGACCATAGCTAGGCTAAAGCAAAGCAAAGCATATTCACGAAGGGAAAACGTGGGGTGGCAGAAAGCAGGGCAGGAGCCAGAAGACACCCAGATATGAAGACAAAGGACAGTGTGCAGGTTGTGGTGACTCACATAGGTGTGACAGGATGGAGGTGACAGATCATGCCCACCACCACCTCCTAAATAGTAGGAGGAGGCATATAAAAAGCAAGGACCTGACCAAGTAGAGCCACCCAGGTGCTAGGAGGACTCAATAGCTGGTGTCCCTTGTCCTCTGTGTCACCTCCAGGACCCCCAAGGAGCCCACTTGGGTAAAAGCATCTCAGTGCCTGACCACCAGATTACCTGGGCAGACACTCAGAGGCTCACAAGCGGTTAAAACACCAAGGAGTCTCACTTCTATTTTGTTCTTAATTAAAAACATGGGAAACTGGGAGCCAGACATCAAGCTGGCTGCCCTGTAGTGTGACGAGGCTTAGGATTTCTGCTCAGCGCCCTGGGAGCCCTCCCACTCTGCTACGTGCCTGCCCGATTTTGGCAACCATGCCTGCAGAACAGGCTCGGCTGGCAGTGAGCCCAGCAGGACAAGACAGAGCCTGGGGCAAAGAGCAGGCTGTGAGCACCTCAGCCTGGGAGCTGGGGACAACAAGGCCATGGAGGGACAGCACCGTCCCTAGGAGGCTGGCATCCCACCACCACCTTGCCCACTTAAGATAAAGATCCTCATGCCCTAGCAAGTAAAGGGGATGACGAAGGTGAGGACCTAGACACCAGAGAGCATCCCCCAGGCAGCTGCAGATTTAAATTCAAGCCAGATTGAGCCTAGCCTCCACTTCCACACCCAGCAACCCCAAGGCAGGCAGACAATGACAGAGGGATAACCACATCCCAGAGCCTGGGCTCTCCACCCCTCCACAAAAAAACAACAACACACCCAGAGACACAGTGCAGGACCTACCTCCCCAGGCTCAGTACCATCCTGGGGACCAGAGAGAGACTATCTGGTCACAGGGGCTGCCCTGAGCATCTCCCTGGCTCTGGCAGAGCAAAACCAACCCTTTGCATAGCACTGAGGGCTCCAGCATTCAGCAACAAGGGGAATGAGGAGAGCTGATTAATCCCAGTTGTAATTAAAGGTGGTTCCCAGCTCCCTCCCCCTACCTGACCCCCTTCCCCCATAATTGCCCTGGGCTAGGAGCAGGAGGGAGCATTTACAGCCGCAGCCAGGGGAGCCAGCTGGGGCTGATTGCCTTGCCTGGAGGAGCTGGGTCAGGGTCAGGCTTTGGAAATATTTGGGAAATGCAGTGATTAAAAGATTTGAGCTGGCAGGATGAGCTGTCTCCCTCTGCCCCCTGGTCACCGCTGCCCTACGTCAGTGCCCTCCCATGTGCATTTGCCTGGTCAGGCTCCTCCACGCAGGCACATGCCTATCCACCCCCCCCATTTTTGGACAGTGAAATCCCACTTGGCTCCATCCCCTCCACGCGCAGCCCTGACGAGTAGGCATGCCGCCCTGACCTGCTTGCCAAGCGTGCCCCATCCTGCCCGGCCACGCTGCCAGGAGCTGCACCCAGCACTTCCCTTTGCCATGAGAAGGAGCCAGGTCAGGCCACGGGGCCACTTCGGTGTCTAATCCCAAATTATGGGGAGTATCTGCACGGATGAGCCTCTGGTCGGCAGCTCCGCTCGCTCAGGGAAAGGGGCTTGGCCTTGGATTTCCCACACGAGAGCAGCCTTGGGAAGCAGGAGGCGGAAGCAGACCTGCCCCATGTTCCTGGTGTTTCCTTCCAGGCCTCCACGCTCCAGGGTTTTTTTCCTCACCATGACCCTGAGCAGGAGCAGGGCACAGCCTGTGTCCCAGATAAGGGCAGCAACTGAAACTGCGTGCACCCCCAGCACCCTTCCCATTGCCACCTTGCGCCCTGAGATGCCCACCCAGCACCGGGAGCACTGGTTTCAGCATCCAAACCTCGCTGCTGTCATAGGATGCAGTCACAGGCACAGGAGGCAGCAGGAGGATGCAGGAGCCCCCCGCTCAGCCAAGGTAGACTCCAAAACACCCACATGTGGGGCAGGGAGGTCCCCAGCCGCCCACTGCTGGGTCCTTGTTCCCCACCCAACCCCCACACCCTCTAAAATCTAGGACATCTCAGGCACCGTGGGAGACCCCAGGCAGGGCATTCCCCCACGGAGCTGAGTCCAGGGGAGCTGGGATGCTGGCACGGCTCCGGAGGCTGCTCGCGGTGCTGGAGGCTGGCTGCTCGCCCGGGGACGGCGGTGGCAGGCTCAAACCCAGCGCTGGTCCTTGTTCCCCACCCAACCCCCACACCCTCTAAAATCTAGGACATCTCAGGCACCGTGGGAGACCCCAGGCAGGGCATTCCCCCACGGAGCTGAGTCCAGGGGAGCTGGGATGCTGGCACGGCTCCGGAGGCTGCTCGCGGTGCTGGAGGCTGGCTGCTCGCCCGGGGACGGCGGTGGCAGGCTCAAACCCAGCGCTCATTGTGCTCCCAGAGGGGGGCAGGCAGCAGCGGGGCTGGGGGGGGAGGGGCATGCCATCC